TCGCCAAGTAAGAAGATGGTATGTAGATCAATCATGTTTTTCTTCACAATAGGAGAATAGATGTATCTTTATCTTCCCAAAATTTACACATTTGGTCCCTTTAGTTTTTTTTTGTCAAATTTACCATTACTTCATTTTTTCACATTTACCAAAAATATTGTCATAACAAGTCCTCATCCATCAATTACATAACTTTGGTAGTCCCTTCCATTAATTGAGTCAAACCTTTTGGTCAACTCACTTTTCCGGCTTGATATTTTTGGCCCTTTAACTTTTAAAATATTATTATTTTCACTTCCAACTTTCTAAACTTCATACCAACTGACGATATGATTATTCCTTGATGATTTAACTATATAAATCATATTTTAATTATATACTTTATTAATTTAGAAACATAGTCTTAAATTTTAGGATGTTACAAGTTTCCCGATGAGGTAAACCCCATGGTTCGTGTTTGTTAGTAGTGATCTACAAAACCGATTTGAATAAAGAAAAAAACAATCGATTGTTTTAACATGTAAATATTCTGAAAAAATTGTCCACAAGTCTAAAAATCTTGAGTTTCATTGACAATGTTAGTCCGTTAAATCCTACAAAACGCCCTCAAATTTGTATTTTATTAATATAATAATATTATTATTATTATTATTATTATTATTATTATTATTATTATTATCATTGTTTTATTAATTAATTCCTAACTCAACGCACCATTTCATACAAAATAATTTCATCGGTGACCCTATGGGTTGTTCTTTCATGCATCCCTCCTACATTACCAATCTTTCTTCATATCTGACCATGGCTCCACCTCGCCCTTTCTCCTCTAGTTGTATATTCCCACCTTTTTGATTGCAAACCATGAACTCACATCACCTACAGAGACCATCATCGATACATCTTACAAACCATACTACATTGGTCTCTAAAACACCATAATAAAAAACATGGTAACACTTTGAGTGCTTGATTCCTTGGGTTTTCCCATAATCATGTATATGTAAATGAAAAGTGCTTTCCAATGCATGCACAGGCAAACGATGATCTGCATCAGTGTGTTAATGGTTGCTCGATCTTCATAGTTGTCGAGAGATTATATCTTTATTAAAGTTATGGTAGCACTCGGAGTCCTTCTTCCGAACATGGCTTCCCTCATAATCGTCTACAAGTAGTGAAGGAGAATCCACATCAATCTAGTCTGTCGGTGGTTGACATGAATTGCTTTGTCTTGGTAGTTGTCGAGAGCGATTATATATTTGTTAAAGCTATGGTAGCACTAGGAGTCCTTCATGTCGTGGTTTCTTCCATAATTGTGTATAGGCAGAAGAGAAGTTCTCTCGAACGCATATGCATCAGTCGACAAGTGATTTTTTTTCTATTTTTAAGTGATTAATTAGTTTAATTTGGTAATTGTTTTCGTGTGAATATGAATGTGATTATAGGTTGCAGCTAGAGATCTCGAAGAGTAAGTTTTCGTTGTAGGTTTAAAGGTTAATAAATGTTCGGTTGATTACAAACTTTATATTCAACTCTAAGTACAATTGATTTGGTTTGAAATATCGGTTTTTGTTTTGACATTATTAGGACTATTTTGTTCGATTCGACATTATTACGACAATTATTTGTATAAAAAATGTTAGTATTTTTATTTTTTTAAATGTATTTAGAATTTTATTTGAATTCGATATATAAAGATTAAGAGCTTGTTTGATATATACTTATAATTAAATCAATTATAAATACAATATTTCTAAAACTATTGTCTATTAGTTTCTTCAAGGTTACATTAAGATAGTTGTATTCATACTATTTCTACATTAAACACATTTGATTTATACCATGATCCTGCAAATATTAATTATTGTATTTAAATTATAACTAATAAATCACTAGAATGTGTAAAGCTAAAATGAAAAGACTAAAAGAAGTATCAATCCATTTTGGTACAAATAAATAATTTACTCGATATCTAGATTAATATTATTCATTTACATTAAAATGTAGTGATGAATTAATTGAGAAATAAGATTTGAAGCTGATTTGGAAAAGACATTTCAGCTTACCGTATCTACAGTTTCTAATTTGTTCATCTTCAAATTCCCTAATTTTAGGGCTTTCGCACAACATTCCTATTAATATTATAAATAGAATTCATTCTCAAAATATCAACATGTGTAAGTTCATTTTATTGGTATGGATGTTACATTTATATAACATGCTAATTTCAGAAAAGAGAGACATTATGGTGATAGTGGCTGAGCCAATGTGTAATTAGTGGGGTCCTTAACCCCTCTTAAATTTGAAATCTACCATATATATATATATATATATATATATATATATATATATATATATATATATATATATATATATATTATATATATATATGTTCATTTATGTAATTATATGGTCCTCTGGTCTTTGCACCCATCAGTCAAGATTTGAAATAACGAAACTTCCTTTTGTTTTTTCTTTTCTCCTTCTGTCCTTATTCTCCCATTCTTTCTTTGTTTAAAGTAGTTGTTTAAGAGAAAAAAAGACAGGTTATTGCACGGTCACCGTCGCCGGAGTTAGAACCGGCCACCGGCGCCACCCTTTTTCACTTTCTAATTAAGTCGCTAATGGGTAAAGGTATAAAATGGACCCTGGTTGTGTTTCGTGTCAGGACAATGGAACATACTTTTAATGGTTACTAACTATATGTTCAACAATTTAGGACTTTAAAGCATAAAAGTTCCAAGATATTTATGTTTTATTTAATTGCTTGGTTATAGTTGATTTTTTTTGTTCAAAAGGTGTAAGTTCATTTTGTGGGCATGGGTGTTATATTTTTATAACATGTTAAATTCAGAAAAGAGAGACATTATGGTCTTTAATGACGGAGTCAATGTATAATTAGTGGGTTCTAAGGACCTTTCTTAAATTTGAAATCCACCATATATATATATATATATATATATATAGATATATATATATATATATATATATATATATATATATATATCCTCCCTAATAAATGAAAATAATTTTGTCACATGTCACTCTCTCATTAACTTGGACACATGTCATTTTTTGGTATTTTTGATTAAATGTTATTTTCATTTGTCATTTTCTTATTTTTTTTTAATCTTTTCTTAATTAACACATCATATTTACACCTCAATTAATAATTGTTTTAATTGAAAATAACCAATAAATTACAATATTAGTACTCATATAGTATTTAATATTTTTCCTTTTAAATTCAAACTTATAAATTTTAAATTTCAAATCTAAAATTTCAAATTTAAATAAATTTTTGTATAAACCTTTATATTTAAATTTTGTTTTATCAAACCCGTATAATATACGGGTCTGACACCTAGTGTGTATATATATATATATATATATATATATATATATGCTCATTTTTGTAATTATATGGTCCTCTAGTCTTTGGCACCCATCGGTCAAGATTTGAAATAACTAGAAACTTCCTTTTGCTATTTCGTTTCTCCTTCTGTCCTTATTCTTCCGTTCTTTCTTTGTTTAAAGTAGCTGTTTAAGAGGGAAAAAAACGGGTTGATACACGGCCGCCGTCGCCGGAGTTAGAAACGGCCACCGGCGCCGCCCCTTTTCACTTACTAATTAAGTCGGTAATGGATAAGATATAAAATGGACCCCGTTGTGTTTCATTCTGGCTCCGCCACTTGTTATATTACAGATTTACATCAATACGTCAGGATAGTGGAACATACTATTATTAACTATATGTTCACCGATTTAAGACTTTAAAGCATAAAAGTTCCAAGATATTTATGATTTATTTAATTGCTTGGTCATAGTTGATTTTTTTTTGGGGGGTCAAAAGGGTGATGCCGCCCATTCTAAATACACAACTAAAGACATTTCAAGGCTATCTGTTTTGTTTTTAAATGAAGTGATGTTATATCCTCTTAAATCGAATGACATTTGAGAAAAAAAATTGCACATCGCATTAACCACCAACAAAAATCTAAACATCACTTGATTTTTGACAAGTTTTACTATATTTAAAAGATTTATTGGTTTTGTTTTTCTAATGTGACCACTCTTGTTAATTACAATTACACCATCCAAATCGTGTTGAGCCATGAATAAAGATGGCAACATATTTTCACAAACAAATATTCAATATATTTTTGGTATGATACAATTATCTAAAATATATATGATACGTTATTATCCAAAGTTAGTTAATTGAACTAAGAGTTTCTTTAACCACAAACACCAAAATAGTGATTGTTTAGCGTTAAAATAGTGTTTAAATTCCAATCAACCTCTAAAATTGTGGGTTTTAGAAGCCTTCACATTTGACCTTCATATTTGGTGTTAAAATGGAGTTAACAAAAAAATAATACTAAATTTGAAGGTTAGTTGGAGTATTCTTGCCCTCTAAAACACAAAAATAATGTAATAAAAAATAATGTAATATGGTGGATGGTTGGAGTTGTTTAAGGTTTCGAGTTTAGGGTCCAAGTTATTTACAATTATACCCTTCAAGACTAATTTACATTTTTAGTCCCTAAGTATAGCTGGTTCTTTCAGTTTTGTCCCAAAAATTTTCCTCTTGAATTTTGGTCTTTATTTGAAGTTATTGCAACTTTTTTTTTTCTATTATTGTAATCACTATTCCAAGTAACATGACTATGCTTTTGGAAATTAAAAAAGAAGAAGAAGAAGAGAAACCTATACTATAGATTGAAAAATAGTCATTTCACTGGAATAGGACAAACACGTTCCAAAAATCTCAAATAAAAACCAAAACTAAAACTGCAAGAGAGCTTTTTGGGAACACATTACACAATTGCAAAAATCAAATAAAAACCAAAACTGCAAGAGAGCTTTTTGGGAACACATTACACAATTGCAAAAATCAGCTACACTCACGAACCAAAAATGTAGTTTACTCTAAAAACAATATTTGCCATGTGCACATGATTATAGAAGGGCTAAATAAAAGTAGATAAAAAAAGTATGTTGCAATTTCTTGTATATTTAATCCAATATAAATTATGCATAGAATACATAAACGTAAGCAAATTACTATAACTAATGTAATTCTTCACCATCAAGCCATTTAAGTTGAGGCAACAATTTAAACAAAAACAAAACAAACCTTTCATCAACAACCACATTCCCCACTATATCTAATTGCATCAAATTCAAGCCTCCAAAAATCGAATATGCTTCCCAAAAGTTGACCAATTTGGCATCATCACCATTAGCAAATTCTTCAAAATTTGGATCATATGAAAGTGTATGTGACATGGGAGATGAGCATAAATATCGTCTTGTGTCTACAGTGTGTGCACCAATCTCATTGTGGGAGACATTCAAGACTTTAAGTGACTTCAAGAATCTCAAAGGCTCTAAAGCTGTGAAACTCGCGAGTTTATTGTGACTAAGGTTTAAGCATGAGAGAAGCTGCAAAGCCTCCAATCCTGTCAATAAATAGCAATGTACTTTCAATTTGGTTGTTTTCTTTCTAAAGTTTAATGCAAATAAATGTATATACATTGCCATTTCTTGCATTTAGCCCAACTTATGTTATACTAAATGAAGCATGCAACTGAGAATTAGAATAAAAATTACAAATGTTTTTTTTACCTTCAATAGAGTGAAGTTGGTTGTGGCTAAGATCAAGACTTTGCACCCACAATAGCCTCTCAAAAGACCCAATTCGTGACAATGATAAAGAATTCAATCTTAAACATATAGAACCAGTGATATTCAAAGAATTTGACTCTTTATATTGCCAGCAGTATTTCAGTAAAGATTCAATGCAAGAAGTCATCTGCAATAATACCATTCAAAGCTCTTATAGAGTCCAAACATGTATAAATAGAACCAAAGAAGATGATATGTGAAGAAAAAATTACCTGTTTTAACAAAACCAAGCTGTGTTCATTCTTGTAATATTGGTAATGTGAAGGGTCTAATTTCATTAATTCAGAATATAGTTCCAAAACTTCCTCTGCATGAGTGATTGAAGTGCCAGTTGACATCATGGCATCATGTGCCATTAATAATCTCGCAAGTGTAAGCTTCCCAATTTTACTATTAAATAAAAAAAAACAAATTAAAAATAACACACGCATTAAGCTTAGTAAGGAAAAGGCCAAACATACCACTCTGCCCAAGTCAATAATTCTTGGTATTGAGCTATTTCACTAGCTATCATCTCCAGCTTCCATTTTGAAGATGTGGGATGCTCATCATCACTTTTTGTCACCTCAAAATATGATTTAAACAATTGGATACTCTTCAAACTTGTGTCAATTGTACAAAAAGATTCATCTGTGAACGTTATCCTCCCAAAACTCTTTCCTTCATCAGGCTGCAGATCATGGCATACAGAAACCCTAAATGCAAAAGACCAGGGCTGGCTACAAGGAACCCCAGATAAAGAAGTTATCCCTTGAGAATCTTCTGACCTGATTTTCACTTCATAAGTCTTTGATGAGTTAAGTTCTTCATGGGGAATACTCAGATGTCTCACCCAGGCTTGACCACATCCAAACTTATTTGTTGAAAGTGGACTCCAAGTAATATCTTTAGACACATCAGACTCAGTTTCAACAGTAACTGTATGTGAGTTTAAGCCTTTAACAGTTTCATTGAAATAAAGAACAATGGGAAATGTCACTTTATTAGCTATTGGTAAATTGATATCAGAACCACAAGGAGGCCAAGAAGAAACCATAATAGGCATGTCAACTTTAACAGTCTGATCAAGAAGCCATAGATGATAAAACCATCCACTTTGATCATCTGGATCGGTAAAGACAGCATTTCTTACAAACTCATACTCTTCTGTTAGAAAGATCTCTTTTGGAAAATACCCTTCAACCTTTTTCTCCAGCAGATGAGTTAAGAGTACACTACAGATGAAAATACCATCATGTATTCTTGTCCCTTGATAGAATGGAAGTGCACTAAATATACACAGATACATACATATACAATCTTTTTTTTTTTTTTCAAACATACCTACGATTATGCCAAGCAGAATAATTGCTGAAGTTATCATTTATCATATCTGTTGTAAATTGTAGCTCCTTTTCATCTGATATGTTCTTCAACCCTGCTATGAATCTGATAAAGGTATAACAGATCAGGTCCATTTAGATTACATAATACCCTGATTAACTATGTCAGCAAATAGAGGTCTTTCACCTCCTGTAATTCCATGCATGAAAATTGCGGGTGTCTTGCTTCTGGAACAGATTTAGAAGCTTTAGTTCCCGCTCTGTTGAAGAATTCCCCTTGCTTACCACCCATTTCCGGTGATCCCAAGCTCCATAAGACTTGAAATTCTTCCTCAGGGCATTCTCTACCTGTAATATACAGTTAAAATATTATCATGTTCAAGCAAGAACAGTTTTATATCTTTCCACAAGGTAATGCGCATCAATATCTAGGTTAAACATGTGTCGTTTGATCACAAAGTTAGTGAACTCTTTTCTTGGAACCTAGTATTAAGGTTATGTAATCGGAAGTGTAAGGAGACATTTAAATTAGAGCAAGATAAGAACTTACAACTCGCAGTTCTTCATCAATAATCGATTTGACGTGATCCGAATCTGCCTTTTCGACCTCTGATTGACTACTAATATTATGCTCAAACGCCAGTTTTCGATAATTCCAAGCGGTCATAAACTCCGGATTAATCTCGAGAAGCTTAGCATTGAGTTCTAGGGCTTCTTTCGTGTAACTAATTTTACGAAACCCAGTATATAAACACAGATCAATCGATGCCTTTGATACAAAAAAATACTAAAAATATGGAGATTTGAGATAGAATTTGTACATATTGTTGTGATGATTTTGGAGAAACTGAGTTTGAAGGGATCGAATCTTTGCAGCCTTGAGAGCTGATGCATTTTCGTCTACTGGTGTTGCAGATTTCCTCGGTCTTCCGTGCATGTTTCTCGCCGAGAGAGAGAGAGAAAGATAGACGGCGTCTGATGTCGAGAGAGCCCGACCGTCTAGACCAATTATATAAACCAACAGGTTCAGTCCCCTGGTTTCCATTTTTATCACTTTTTGGACACTAGAACAATATTGTTTCTTAATTGAGAAATTAAATATTCTCCTATCATTTTAAGACACTTGTCATCATTTAAAGTGGGTAGGAAGATAATTAGGAGGAAAAGTAGGAGGATATTTAATTTCTCTTCTTAATTTGATGATTAAACTTTCTTGATTTTTCTTGTTTGGGTAGAGACACGAATCACTTCAAAAAATAATTATATAAACTTAATGTGAGTCCTGCCAATTGCTTAAATTATTTGAGTTTGTCGAGCCTACTATATCTTGCGCGCGACAACTTGACAAGTCAAAACGTTTGGAGCACAAAAAGATAAATATATACATATATATTCGAGCCATGTGGTAATTTTTGTGTTAGTTCATTATATAATACATATGAATTGTGGGAAGGTTTATCACAGTAACCTAGAGCCAGCTAGTTACTGTTCATCGGTTGGTTAAAGCTGGTCAAAGATGGTGGTGGTTGGTTGATATTTATGGCTCCTTTTGGCTGGTCAACGGCTGGTATGACTAACGTGGCTTTTTGCTGTTCTTTTAGGATGATTAATGTCTTCACCGTTCTTCTCTTCCAATAGCTAATCTCCACCGCTTCTCACCCGGTAGATGTTTGTTGCGATAAAAAATCCCCACACCATCTAAAATTCATCTTTCGTCTGTCTACAACACCTCTTCTACATTCCACGACACCCACTCCAGCACCGTCCTCCTCCCGTTCTTCCCCTCCGCCAACGACACCCACCTCCACCGCCACCCTCCGCCATCATCCCCCTTGGTAAGTTTTTCTCTTCTGATTGTCCCCCAACGACCGTCATGCTTATTCACACCTAAATCGGAAAACCACTACAACAAACCACCGCCCACCATCTCCTCCATCATGTCGATCTTCAATCGTCGCTTTGATATGTGCTTGAATCATGTCATCAATAAGGGTTGGTCGTTTGATTGGTCGGTGCTACAGATTACAGAGGCTTGGGGAAGTGTGAATCAGTTGGATTTCGTCGAATCGATTGTTGAACACCGTCAGTGTAATATGTTTTCAAGGTATAAGGTATGCATCAAAACCCTATTTAACCGATTGTGAACTAGAATAAGTCGAATCCTTGATATAAACTAACTCTCCTTTTTCAGTCTTGGTGAAGAAATCATTATCGCTAAAAGATAGTCGACCATTATACAATCATTGGCATTTGTTTAACCATCTGGCGGCAATAGCGCGGTGCGTTCGGTGCGATTATTAGCCACAACCTCACCGCTAACCGCAAATGCGGTTAATCCATTTTCAAAACCGTTTGGTGCGGTTATTTTTGCGGTGCGGTTAGGCGGTTATTTTTGCGGTGCGTTTTTTTTCGGTTATTAACTGCATGAATTTGGTGTGGTTTTTAACCGCAGTTTGGAGTTCAAACGGTTTTAAGAGTTCAAACTTATTACTTGTAATAATAATAAAAAAGAATAAGGTATAAAACAATTACCTTAAATCATAAACAACTAATATCTTAAAAACGTGAAATTACTAGTAATTAACAATAAATATCTTAAAATTGTGAAATTTCACCATTTTCCAAAGTTAAACATAACAAAAAAATTAACACTTTTGTCCTCCAGAATTTTATCATTCTTTCATCCATAAAACTTGTCTTATTTTTAATATTTAATATAGTAATAATTAATAAAAAAATTATATATAATATATACGGTGCAGTGCGTTTTTTTTTGTTTTTTTTTGCGGTTTTTGAAAACTAATAACCGCACCACACCGCAAATTTGCGGTTTTTGAAAAACTGAAAACCTCACCATCGGTTTTTATTGCGGTTGCGGTTTTTGCGGTTAATTTTAGTTGCGGCGCGGTTTTTGCTCACCCCTAGGCGTCATTTAATTAGGTAAAAAAAGTTGCCAAAATTCAGTAGAATCTCAACATAACAACCAAAAATAGTCATGAAGGTAGAAGAACAGTAAAGCTACACGTTTTCGATGGTACAACTGTAACACCCTGTTTCGGGACATTCCATAATTTAGGGTTCATGGACCATAATTGGATCATGTAAAGGCTTTGGGCTTTGAGGAAGTAAAGTTTTGACATTATTGAAGGTTTATAATATTGGTTATGAGATCTAAGCTCTTGATTCGTGTGCTAGAATCAAAGGGTAAAATGGGAAAAATTATATGTTGGGCTTCTTGCATGGATTTGATAGGTTTTATAGGTTATAATTCAAAGCATGAAGCGAAATAACTTAACCCTTAAGTTCACATGCAACCTATTTGGATCTAAGTTTTCTCTATTGATAGCTATAATATATGAACATCAAGAACCCTAAGGAGTCCCTACTATAATCGAAATTAACAAGGGATTAGGGTTTACATACCTTTTGATTATTATAGCAAATATAATCAAAACAATTCCTTCTTCAAATGTCTTGGAAAACAAGCACCAGAAATTCAATGCCTCTAATGGTCTGTACCCAAACCCTAACAATTAGAACACTTGAGGATAGAGGAGAGGAGAGTAGGAAAATCGGCTATTCCTTTGGTAGAAGTGATATACGAAAATAAGGACTCTCAATGGTCATATTTATAGCTGATAGGAAAACCCTAGAAACCCTAATTTGAAATAAAACAATATTATTTCAAATATGGATTTATCTAGTTTTCTAATTATCAACATTATCCACATGGAGTATTCTAAAAACCCTAGAGGCTTAGCCCAATTTCAGCTAACCCTAGGAAGAATCTAGAATTCTTCTCTTGTTCAACTATTGAACAATTACAGCTTAAGTCCTTATACTTTTAATTAATCCAATTAATCCCAAAATTAATTCCAATTAATTTCTGATTAATTATTAATTAAATAATACTATTTAAAATTAATATATTAACCTCATAATATATTAACAAATTATTTAATGCTATTTATTAATCATATAATAAATTCAATAAATCAACCTCTCTCTCTCTCTCTCTCCAAAAGTCATTCTAGTCGATTACTAGTTTTGAGGGCAACCCAAAAAGGAATTTGCTTTTAATTTAAGTATATACCAATTTAGTTATTGACTTAGACACTTTAATCCAACAATCTCCCACTTGGATAAGTCTGTAACTACAATTGCAAGTATAACTTCTAAATTAAACAACAAAGTGTGCTTTCCGAAGCAACTGTCGAACTCTGATCCAATTAGACATTGGCCCTAAGATAAGTGATCAAATATTCATTCGTTCTTCAAGATATCGTATGGACATGATACATGGATTATAATCAATCTCATTGTCCAAAATTATGTTTCCCGATTTCCTGATTTGTGATGACACCATTAGACTACTAATTGAACACGTCAATTCAGTCGTGGCTAGGCCCCAACGCCATAATGTCAACACCAAATCATCGAGGGGCCCAAAGATATCGCTTTTCCTGTTAGGGCAAAAGGAACGAATAAACTTTGAATTATATAAGTGTATCTTTTACTCACCAAATCATACATGACACAACGTTTTATAACATCATGTTCCTGATGCATTTCCACAACACCAACGCACAACTGACTTGTAAATTACAACTTATATATCTTCGTTTGAAGAATATAAGATATTATCATCTCAGAATTACTTGTGATATAATCCATGAAGCAATTCTATGAGTGTGGGTTTATCCAATACTCAAAACCTCCATTCTTCTAAGTACTCTTGAATATTGTAGCAACCCATTGCAATGTCTAATCTCCATAGACAATGTACATTCTACAATCTATTCATGACAATCTTAATTCACTACTTACTTCCAAAAGCATGAGCGACTGTGGAATTTTGAATAATCAAATCATTCAGGAAGTAAAACATGCAAAATGAAACACAGGAATAAATAATTGAAAAATGCAGCAACCATACTCATAAATAATTCTCCATTATTCAATCACCAAAATCAATTACATTTATTTTGTTACAAAGTTTCAACCTATCAACTAACTACTAAAACTAACATCGTCTCTCAAGCCAATGCTCCTAGCATGATGGTTGTGTTTAACCATACTTAGAGCCTTCGTGAAAGGATTTGCATGATTGTCTTATGATGATACTCGCTTCACCAGGGGGTGACCTTCTTCAACCCTATGTATGATATAATGGTACTTTCTGTCGATATGCATGGATCTACCATGATCCTTTGGTTCTTTTGTTAAAAAAAATCTCCCCATCATTATCACATAAAATTTCCAATGGCTCTTGAATGGTCAGGACTACTCCGAGATCGCCGATGAAGTTCTTCAACCAAGTCGCTTCCTTTAATGCCTCACTTGCTGTGATGTACTCTGATTCACAAGTAGAATCAACTACCGTATCCTTCTTGGAACTTTTCCAAGTTACTGATCCACCATTTAACACAAACACCTGTAACACCCCGACTCCAGGTACACGTTTTAAAGCATTATATACATGTTTATGGACTTACTTGACGAGTTGGTTGCCCCCAACTCATCGTGTAAAGGGGGTTAGCCCACGTGGATTATTGGATCTACTCGACGAGTCGGAGGACCTGGACTCGACGAGTAGGAGATGGGAGATGAAACCCTAATTTTTAGGGTTTTCACCCTATTTAAAGGACCTTAAGTCCTTTCCTCCAGTCCCTTACCACCCCTTGACGGCCAGAAGAAACCCTAATCGCTATTAACCTTGTTCTTGAGTGATTGTGAGGTTTAAAGAGTGACTATGGTGCATTTTGTGAAGAAGGTGTGAAGTTTAAGAAGCTTGGAGCAAAGATGAGCTTGTGGATCTGACTCTACTTCATCTTGGCATCATTTTGAAGGTATAAAGTCGCTGCCTTGGCTTATCTTTAATTAGATCTCTTCATGCCTAAGTTTAGGGCCATCTTTAGGATATTTGGGAGTCATTTCGGGTATTGGAGTAAGATCTGAAGTTGTAACTTCAGATCTGGACTCCCCTTG